TATATATATATATATATATATATATGGGTTTAGGCCACAAAATAGATTTTGGGATTGAAACACAAAATTAATATAATTATTAAAAAAAATAACGCCATCGGATTCATTTTGGTACAATTCTATACATAATCCTTTATTATATTGATAGTCTAAATAATGGCAGATATTTTACTAAGGAACAAGGACATTAAAAATGTCACTTAATTCACTTCAGATCTCGGAATAAGGAGTCCGTAACATAGCGTGATTTGTATATTTCTACGTTTATCTATGTAGATTTCGTGATTATTTGTAAGTGATTCTAATAAATTGTATATTTTATTAGATAAAAAAACAATAAAATAAAATTATTATACGATTTTTTGGATTAAAAAATCATTTTTGTCTCCTTGTATATAGGAAAAGAGCTTTTCCTGATTCTCCATTGATAGCGCCACTCTCATCCTTTTTCTCAATCTAATATCGTAGTTGTGTTAATATACATATACGATACATGTGTTTTAATCTTATATACGCAGAAATTTGATCATTTTCACGTAAATGGTAACATCAAACAATAATTATTCAACAATTTTTTTTATGATATTGTATTTAATGGGAAGAAAACATCTATTAAGATAACAATTAATTAGACTAAGTTGAAATTAAGTCGTATATATTAAAATAAAAAATACACGAAATTATATATAAATTCGTTTTTTTGTGTATGAATGAGACTACTTTATATATATATATATAGATATTGTTTACGTTTAATCTGTTTTTCCTGCTCTCTTTTTTTTTTTTCGTTTGTGTTTTGTAATTTCGATAAATAAATAAAAATTAGCTCTGAACAAAAGAAACGAAGGGACATGAAGCATTGTGAGTGACGTTAGTGGAAGATACTTTTGTCGGAAGCAGAAGGTTTGTCTCTTTCATGTTTCAAGATTCGCCACATTGGTGCAACTTTTCATACTTCGTATTCCCACCGTTGGATCTAAGAGGGCCACGATGAACGGTGGGGATTAGAGATGGACCACGAAAATGACATGACGATCGCGTCCACGTGGACGTGTCCAAAGTTCAAGAACAAAATGTTCTTTCCCATCTCAGAAACCATAATTATTTGTTTCCAAATTTAGGCTTTGAGTGATACATTTTACATAAGTTTATATTAATTTCTACTTATTTCGACTTTATATATAACCATGTCTATAGAGACTATTTAACAAAAATCTATATTTCTAAAAGTGATTAATTATTAATGTTTATAGAATTTTGTTGATAGTTTTCACTGTGTTGCATTTGTATTTGTGTGGAGAAATTTTGTAAAATTGAAATTATATTTATATTTGATGATATCTAAGAAAACATTTAATGGACTAACAATTAGTTCTGATACAGAAATATAAAGACTTAATCGATGATGCAATTCAAATAAAATGTATTTGAAGATTTTGAGATTTAAACTCTATATAGAATTTTATAATTTCTTGTAGACAAAATATTATATCATACATAGATTTTCTTCAAAAAATTGAAACGATTTTAAACAGTGCAATAAATGAACGCATTTTTCATGTGGCCAAGGCCCAAAGCTATAATAAATTATGGCAGCCAATGAAGAAGGATGGTTTTGTTAAATTTCACAATTTCACAATTTAAATTGGTCTTAATCTTGTTTAAAATACATGATATCCCATCCATTAATATTTATAGTTTTAGATTCTAACATAGTATTTGAATCATATGATCAAATATTTTATTTGATATTGCGAAGAATTCGATAAAATTGAACTACTACAACGTCATATCTAAAAAAATTTAATTAGAATAATCGAGGGAACAAGTGACAGATGGCGAGTGATGATTGGGTGGGGATGGTCCAGTTGTACTGTGGGCATTAACTAAAAAGGAGAAGTGCCGTACGCGTGTGGTGAGAGGCCGCACGTGCGAGGGGCCCAAATGTCAGAGCGGCAAATATGTCTGAGAAGGGGGTTCACGTGACAGGTCACGTGGGTCCCATCGCGATCACCGCGTGACCCATCTCTCTCTCTCAGCAGCCGCCCGTGCGTGCGCACCCCCTCTCCTTTCACTTCTCCATCTCTTCTAAACCCACGAGCACCACTTCCAATTTTCACTTTATCTTTTCAAGTGTGTGTATATATATATATATATATATATTCTAATATTGTTAGTACTTTTTTATTCGCTAGGTATTAAAATTCAACTTTTGTATAATTCTTATTGGATTACATTAAATGATTTTAAATGTAATCGATTGATATAGTAAAATAATTAGAAAATAGATTTAATACGTGTGTGTATATATATATCTATTGTTTTGTTTTTTTTATAGATATTAGTATCTATTTTTTTTATCATTATTTAAGCGGAAGGATATATTTGACATAGAATCCAAATCTTTAGTAGAAATATCTATGGTTAGGTAGACAATTTAATAATATATAATTGTATTTGAATTAAATATGATATAAAATGTTTTAGATAACTTTGACTAAATTAGATTAAATGAATTAATTGAATATTGAAAAACGAAAAATAGAAAATAGAAAAATTATGATACACTATTAAACACATTTTATATCATGTATTTATCTGTTTAATGTGTAATTAAATATAAAAAATTAATGTTTTCACGATAAAATTTCAACGTGGGTTCGAATCCTCATTTGGAGAGGGGTATTCACATAGACTCTTCGATTATCTGAGAGATGTAGTCGGGTTAAAAACCCGATAAACTTCCGGATTATAAAAAAAATCAACAATATCAACTTTTTTTTATAATAATTTCAAGAATCTTAGTTTTAGTTGGTTTAGCTATAAAATACAATATAATTTATGAAAACAATTTTAGAATTTGGATTGAAGTGTCAGTGTACCATATAAAAGATGAAAATAATATAACCAATGCTAGCATTTATTTGGTTTGGCGTACAAAATTTTGAGAGCCAACTCAATGTACCCTAGCGCCGGCCGGCACGTTTGAAGGGCTCTTCATTTGATCATCATTTGATGAACCCGTATCTTTCATATCTAGACCGGACAAACACTTCGACCATTTTGGCTGTGACCATAAATATAATTAACCAAAGGTACGATAACTAGTTAATCGAAGTATATAACCATTCACGTGATTACATTTTGTAATTACGAATATTAGTCATGACTCCAATTTATAATCCAAACATTCTCTTTTTTTTTTCCACGCCACAAAACGAGAAATGAAAAATATAAAGGTACAATTAATGGGTATATAACTCTATATATATATATATAATTTAGATGATCAATGTATAATGTAGTGATATTATAATTAATGGGTGTGTGTATATATATAATATATATATATATATATATATAAGCAGGTGGGGTTGGAGACAGACAATGGAGGAGTGTCATGGAGAAGAGGAGCAAGAAAGGAACAAGAGAGGAAGGAAGCATGTGAGATCGACAAGGACCATGGACGCATTTCCTTCCTGCATGTGTCCTCATGGAGACAACCATGGGCACTCTTTTTCTTGCTTACACGTTTGTTTATTTATTTATTTCCTATAAAATCCCTTACTTGGTTTCCATACACCATCGTTTTCAAACCCCACTCTCATGATGATTCTAGACATATACATACATACATATATATATATATATATATACATGCAAACCATAGTTTCTGATTTTGTTTCTATATTCTTTTTTTTTTTTTAGATCAACTCCATACCAAAAGTGTTCTTTTGTTGTCTACACTAACATGCTTTTCCTTTTTTAAAAAAAAGTTATGGAATATGTTTAATATGAGGGAATTAGGAGTAATATATATATATATATATACCCTTGTATATATATTTATAAAAAATTCTAAAAATAGACAAAATATCGGCATATATCATCATCTGAACTTAAAGAACACCCAACAGATAAAATAAACCAAATCGAAGATTTTCTGATACTATTAAAAATCATGAATTTATATGTTACTGTATTTTTTTTATTTAGTTTTATCGTATTAGAAGATTACACTCCATCTTCACCCTCTCATGTTCTAGGTAGATGTAGAAAGATGATTTATACCTATAAATGTAGTAGTCTAACGGTTCGTAACAATTTAAAATTGAAGTACGGAAAATTTAAAAATTAAAAATAAAACATTTTTTTACGTGTAAGAAAGTAAAGATAATTGAATAAAGGTGCATGAAGGAAGATGGTATTATATTAGGTATGAATATAAGGATCAATCGCAGCATATGTGTAAATATGTCTTCCCTGAACTGTCCGAGTGGTCCTACTGCTTGGCAGTGCGTGAACAGCACGCGCCAATGGCTAGCTGCTATATAATTCCCTTCTCTCCCTTGTTCTCTTTCATTCGTCCTCATCTCTCTCTCTCTCTCTCTCTCCTCTCTGCGCTTTCATCAATAAGACAACCTTCCAAGAAAAAAACAGAGAGATAAAAAAAAAAACCCAGCACGAGTCTCTTTCTTGTTTTTGTCTCTTCTTCTTGTTCTTGTTCTTGCTCCTGTTAACCCTCTTTCCAAGCTTCCCAGAAATTTTTCTCGAGAAAACAGGGTAGAAAGCGATACACCATGAATAGATCCAAGGCGCAATCCAAAAACCCATCTTTTTCCTCGACCCTCCTCGACGAAATCTGCAACTCCTTCGACTCTAAAAACCCTAAAGCCCAACATCTCTATTTCTCCGATAACACGAGCCAGAAACAGAGCACCAGAACCAGATCGGTTTCTGACCGGAAATTCCACCGAGATCGGTTCTTCGGCTCCCTGTCCTCTTCTTCGGATTCTAATTCCAGTATCTTCTCATCTTCCGATACTGAATTAAAGAAAGCTTCGTCAAGGCCATTATGTTTTGGCCCGACCCGGATAAAACCCAGGAAAACAGAGGACAAGGCTCTGTTCCGAGAAAACAGAACATGTCCAGCGTTCGACGACTATGATTACAGTTCAGACACCTCGAAGTTTACGAGACACGAAGACGTCAGGGAGAATCAGAGAACAAGATCAGTGAAAAGTTCTGGGAATTTCAGGAAGCCGAAAGCTCCGGTTTCACCAGGCGGAAGGATCGTTAGTTTCCTCAATTCTCTGTTCAGCAACTCGAGGAAAACAATGGCGGCTAAGAATAGCTCAAGAAAGACCAGTTACAATGATGATGATGGGTTTGTCCGGAAACCGCGTGATTACCCATCGACGTGTTCTTCGGCTACTTCGTTTTCCAGATCGTGTCTGAACAAAAGCTCCGAGAAATCATGTGATGGCGGGAAACGAAGCGTCAGGTTCTCTCAGGTCAATTTCATAGCCTCGGAGAATTCCAGCAGCAGACCAATCTACGCAAACGAAGAAGCAATCTACGGCAGTAACAGAAACGGTACAAGGTTCATGTCTTCGTCGTTGCCAGATGAATGGAACATCAGAAAATCGCAGAAGAAGAGCTCAGTGGACGGAGGGAGGAGATCGGTGGAGGATATAGCGAGGGATTTCTTGAGAGATTATCGCAAGAATCAGACCAAAAGTACGATAAAGAACACAGATAACGACGCTTTCGGCTGTTATGAAGACGAAGATGACGACGATGGCGCAAGTGATTCGAGCTCGGATTTGTTTGAGCTTGATTTGATGGTAAATCACCATGACAGGTACAGAGATGAGCTTCCTGTGTATGAAACCACCTGTGCTGGTTTGATCTTGTGAATGTTTCTTTTTCTTTTTTAATTTTTTTTTTCTCTTTTTTTTTTCTTTTGTTATTTCCATGTAATGAGTTTGCACAGGGAAAAAAAGCTAGGATTCTGTAACGTTTTGCTGTAATATTTGGCTTTAAAATTTGGGTGGCTAATATTAATAATCACGGGTTATATTATATATATAATTGTGTCTAAATTAGTAGAATCAAGTAATTTAAGTCAGTGCCACTAACATATATAACTCCTATTTATAGTATTATTATTATTATCATCGTATCATCAATATCGCCATAAAAAAAATCTATACTTGTGCATATATATGTGTGTGTAACTGTGAAAGGATTATAATATAATATAAAGAAAAAAGAGAGGAATATGGAACATGCGTAGATGGTAGAGAAGGATCCATGAAAGGGAAAAAAAAAAAAGATTTGTGGGGATAATGCGATAAAAGTTGTTGATGATCCCTAAGAAAGAAAAGAAGAACCCTAGCTTCCAACTTTCAATCTCCCTTTATTTATTTTTTTCTAATTTATTATCCCATGCTTTAAATTTCATTTCTTCAACGACCCTATTTCTCAATTATAAAAACTTTCTTTTTGCCTAGAAATCTAAAAAAAAAAAATACTTAATTGTGATCTGTGTATGTTGATTAGGAGTTAATTAAATCAAGGTGTGCTTCTGTCTAACTGTAAGTCGAACTTTTTTTTATTATATATATTATATTCCCCCATCAATTTATTCAGAAAAAAAATATAATTCGATTATAAAATGATGTCATCCTACTTTTTTCATTTTTTAAAACAAGTAGTTTTTTTTTATCTAAAATATTATGAAACTCTGTTAAGGTTTGTTTCTTTCGCCAATTTGAATATTCACTAATATTTGGATTCCCATCAAATACCCATTAATCCGACATTATATATATATATCATGTGAAGGGTGGTTGTGCATGAAATTCGATATCCAGACGAGAAGCAATGGCCAATTCAAAAGTTGGAAAATTTTAAAAATAAAAAAACAAAGTAAAAGAATATGAAAGCGATGTCTCCGTGGGGAATAGAGAAAGTCGTGAGCTTTTGCTTTACTTCTCCCCTTTTATCTTTCACTTTGATCTCCAAAAGTTTCTATCACAAGCTTCTCGATTACTTCTCAACGACAAAGCACGCAATTTAATCTTTTATAATTGCGTGTGTTTGTGTGTGTATATATATATATATATATGTATTTTTCTCTGTAAGCTAAAATATACGTTCATGTTTTGTAAAATTCGGGAGCTCGGACCATATTTGAAGAGTGAACCATACATATTTCTGAAATATGTATAATAGTTTATAGATTACATATCTTTGATGACTCAACCGGTAAGGAAGGGAGCTCCTTCCCAACTAAGGTTCGAATTCTCATTTGGGAAAGGATATTCACATGGACTCTTTTAAAAGATGTAGTCAATCCAAATGACCGATAAACTTTCAAATTGATCAAAAATAAAATAAAAATTTATATATATATATATATATATATATATATATTTTTTGATAACTGAGAGGTTCACCTGGGCCTTCGGTCCAACCTACATCCCCTCAGACCCGGGAGCAGCCTTTAGAAGCCCGGTGACAGGGGCCCAGAGAGCAACACCCTCCCAATCGAGAAAACACCCCTTCCCTCCCCAGTAGCTGGATTCGAACTGGTGATCGGGGCCCCAAGAGCAACACCCTTTCAACCACTCGCCCACTACTTACTGGGTTATAGATTATATAATTTAAATGATATTGTAGATAATTACAATAGATAAACCAAGTATATGGAATGGACAAATTCTATTTAATTCGTCACCCTAAAATAGATAGTTAATGTATATGGAACTTGGAATTGTAATTTTTTTGTAACGAAGTAATTTGTTTCACCAATCCTATTTTAATTCATCTCCTAAACAATTTGTTTCTCGGTTTGAGTTTGAATGGACATAGTTTTTGATAAATATAAAAAATAATGATAATATATATATATGGGCTTTTTATAAATTTGAAGAGTAATATAGTTTTATCTTTTGTTTTGATAATTATGCTTACAATACGAATAGTGCAACCAGTTAGTTTAATGTTTCTACTCATGCAATGGCTGTAGCTCCAATGAATAATACAGCTAAAACAATGTGAAATACGTTCGAGCATAATATATTAAGTTTATAAACATAATATATTTATCAGATATATTTAAAAAGCAATGAATAATATTTATTTTTTGCTGATATATGCTATCATCGTTTTGATTTTTTACGTACTCTGATATTAACATGTTTTATTATTGCAATTAATTTGTAATACTGTATGGTCTATACGTGGCCAAAGGTGATTAAACAATAATTAGCGAACGATAACACCCAAAGATCGTGCTAAGTATATGGGGTCGACAAATCTCCCACAAACTCATATAATGATTACCCCTAAATCCATGATTACGAGAATTAATTAAACAATGTTGTGCCAACACAAGTCGGTCCACGTCTGAATGTATGTATATATTGATGTAATAATAAGTTTGTAATTCTGTTAATTCCAAAAAAAAATATTAACAAACTTAATTATATATATTAGATTGTCAACCCTATGCTATTATGAGACCAAATAACGAGCTAAGTGAATAGCACGACATGATTTTTGTAGTACCAAAGCGACAAATCCCTTTGAGTTTCCTAAACGAAGTCAAAAGCTCAATGATCACTTTCATAATACTTCACACACATTTATTTATTTATTTTGTTTGCATTATCAATTGCCCACGATCCCTAGAGAGTTGCAAAACCCTATTCCACAATTTAAATTAAGTGAAAGTTCAGATTTTCCATTTGGAACTTTGATTAGGTTTATCTGTTTTAATCATTTTTAAGTTTTAAACTTTTTAATTGTATAAAATATATTCAATTTATGTAAATGTATGAGATATTTTTATTTATCTAATAAAGATTATGTCATCTAAATTCTAATTTTTCTAGTAATAGAACAACTTCTAAAATTTGAAAAGATCTTGAATTGATAAGATTTTGGTTGAGAAAAAAAAGTAAGAAATCAAAATTTTATTAGACATATTTTCAAGATAAAGTTTGTAATTTTATTTGTAAAGTCGTTTCATTTATGATAAAAAAAAATTCAAATTTTTATATTACTTTATTCTCATTATTTTTATATCGCAATATGAATTTTCGAAACGTTACAATAAACTTTTCTTTCGATGTGGAGATAAATAAAAGCAAGTTTCTATTTAAAGGTCGAACCATGGCGGAATCGTTGTCTTTTCCTTCTTTTTTTCCTCCTTTTCCTTTTTTTATTTTTGTGAAACTCAGCGCGCAAATGATTATCTCTAAGTTTTAAAAATAAATAAATAATAGGATATGCATGCTTATAAACTATTCACATAATAATTGTTATGGGTACGTGCGTGCTTATTAATTAATAATTATATAGTTTTTGTAAATTTATAAATACTTTCGTTATTATTTTCCCAGGCACGCAACAAAAATAACCGACCTTTCGCCACATGGACAATCCGGAGATGCTTTGCGCGTGGACCGACCTTCATTTTTTCCTTTAATAAAATATTTGTTTTCTTTTTATAAATTGGGAATTCCGACTGCTATCCTTCGGTCGCGCTGACCAAAATAATGATATTGTTTAACTCTAGCATTTTATTTGTCGAAAACAAACAAAAGAACGACTTAGATTACAAAGAAGTAAAAACAATGTGTATATTAGCCCTTCGGGACATGGTATAGTGGTTAAAAAATCCATAATTTTTCAAGAGATCATAGGTTCGATTCCATTCTCCATCGAGTCTGTCACTTTTTGGATGGTTTACCTGTTTCACGTGGTTTGCAGACTATTACGTGAAACCGGAGGATTTATCATTGCGTCCAAAGGACTGTTGTTGGGTTCCCGCCATAAAAAAAACAATGTGTATATTAATTTGCAAAAAAAAAAAGATGAAATGAATGAATTAAAAAAAAAGATTATAAATAAAAACTAAGAGGTGTGAGATAGTGGTGATCATTCACACTCTATATACAGTGGGAAATCATCACATCCCTTTTCAAAAAAAATAACATGAGAAATAAAGATGAAGGGTCGAATTGGGTCGACTCGGTGGATTTCGAGACGAGTCGTTACCGAGTCGTCATCATGATTTGAGCCAATTTCGCAAGGTTTGATCGAACCGAGCCTTCATCTGACTCGTCTTAATTACCAAAGTTCCCGGACAAAATTAGCCCAGAATGATGCAGATGAATATGTGTGTATATATATACAAACGCATGCATGCATGCATGGAGGAGAGAAAAAATAATTTAAAATTATTTTTTTTAATGAAAGAACATGTTCAGTGAAAAGAGTATACAGATAAAACAAAACATTATTGAAGGGCTAAGCCTTTGATGATGACGCGACGTGCTATATATATGTATTGCTTTTAATTAAATATTTTTATTTTTTTTTCTCAGGATATAATTACAGTTCAATATTATTTTAAAGATTTTCACTTGAATTAAGAAACAGTCTAAAATTCTTATGAGCTTGTTTACTGTATTATAGTTAATTTCCGAAAAAAAATTATTTCTTTAAACTGTAACACGATTTTATAGTTTTTTATTGAAATTGTAGAACAATAGTAACTTTTAAAAAAATGTTCAAAACGATATTTACTTTTAGTATCTTAGTTATTTTAGTTATTTTTTTTAAAGGAAAATCGCATATATATACTACGATACAAAATTTTTTTAAACTGTAAGACAGATGACGATATTTATTTTAAGTATCTTAGTTTTTTTTTTAACTACGATACAAAATTTAGTTTCGTCAATCTAAAAGCTTATTAAGGAAATAAATTAAATAAAAAAACATAATCACATCACATTTTTGTTCTTGTTAGGTGGACAAATATACGGAAACTAATGGCTACCGATATTCTAGGTCCTCTCTTGTCATATATATATATATATATATATTTTATAAATCTCTTGTTACGATATTGATGATAGTGCTTGCCATCTCTATGCGAAAATGAACTCGTGCATCAAAATTTATTTCCATATCAGTTTTATAAAACGTGTAATGGTTATGTAAATTAATTTCCAAAACTCGAAGATTTATGATCTATTGGTTTAATCAGTGGCGGTTCATATATATGTATATATTCCAATTTTAATTTGTTTCTCGTATAATTGATTCAAATATAAAACATTGATATTTATAAAATTTCACAAACTCTAAACCAAATTAAATCAACAGATGACATTCTTTAATAGTTTTTATAATGCGTTAAAAATATTACCATTAGTTAACGTACGTGGAAAAGACTTTAAAAAATAATGACCAAATGCCATTCTTCTGATCAACTCTAAGCAAACTGTAAATTAACCAAAAACTGAATGACAAATTTTCCAGTGAAATACATGTTTCTATACAATATCAAATGAATATATATATATATACACATATATGTATATGTGTGATTATTTATGGCGTTTTGAAACGTCATGATGACGATAATATACGTGGAGACGCACGAGAGAGAATCATGGTGGAAGAAGGTGTGACATGAAGGACACGAAGTGCACTACAAATGTAAGAATGTGGCTTGTCTTGCCCAATCCATACTTCCATGATAACGGGAAACTCTCTCTCTCTCTCTCT